GAGGAAGAGGAAGAGATCAGTACACACAGAGCCACAGGAGCACTGCTTGCAGCCGAAAACACAGATCAAGACAGGAGCACAGCAGTTCCTGATGTTTCATTATAACCTGGCCAGATGTAAGAACCAAAAATGGGAGTGTAGGTACTGGGAACTATCAGATGAATCTGTGAGAATCCTGTAAATGACATTCCAATGGAGAAATAAGTTAACTGAAATTCCTAAGTTCATCCCTGATTTAAAAATTGTGCTATCAGTGGTGCAGAAGGGAGACATGCTGGAATGCAGCCACAGAGCCCATCTTTGTTCTGCTACGAGATCACATTCGTCTCTCGTTTCTTCCCTTCTCTCCTCTTTCTCTTTGAAACCTGATTACTGTTATGTCCCTCTGAGTTACACTGAGTCATGCCGAGAATGCTGAGTCACCAGGGAAGGCGCTCAGGAGCCACTGAGCTTCCAACAGCCGGACGAGCGAGGTGGACTCGACGATCAGAGCCCATTCCTCCTCTACCTCCCTTGTTCTTTCGAAGACAGCAAAGCCTATTCTAACACAGCCACGGACAAGCTTCTAACTTGGCTGTGCAGGACCGAGAAAATCCCCACATCCTCCTGCGCTGCGCTGGGCTCTTGGTGTTGTGTGTTGGTTTTCCATCAGGAACATCTGTTTGCTCACCCCACTTGGTGGAATAAATAAAGCGCAACAAAGAAAAACCATCAATCGCACCCCACTGCTTGCCACTGACAGACGTCAGTCACAACAGAGGTTTAAGTCTTACGTCACAATCAACAATCGCCCTCTTTGTTTTGTGTGCACTGGAGACAAAAACCACAGGAAGACTCCAGCTTTTATTAGGGCCACTATCGAAAAAACAAAACACGCAAAGTGCTGTACGTGTTCACAGCTCCAAACACTGGGCCATTCAGCCAGAACAAGGCTAAAGAAAGGGGAGGGTGTATATGGTTAACAAGGCTTTAGGCTGTGTTCATGTCAGTCCAGGCCATTTGATCCCCATTCACCGTGGCCTCTAATCAGGAAGTACAGTAGTGCAGAAGACGCAGGCTGTTTAAGCAGGAAACAGAAGAACACACACTTCTCCACAGTTCACATCACTGCTACTCTGCAATTTAGATCACAAAAGCACCCCCCCCACACACCTTGCCACATCCCTCTCCGTGACTCCACTGCAGACAGAACCCTGTCTGGCCCCCCCGCCCAGCCCTCCTATCCTGCCACCTGTCTGTTTGTGTAACCCAATGCTGAGCTGGAAGTGAACGATAACCTCAGACACACAGCAGCCCTGCAGACACCTCACATGCATGATGGGATCATGGAGGACTGGAGCAGCAGCAGGGTCTACCGGTTTATATCGTGCCCCCACTAAATGGGCTGGCATTCCTACCTCCGCCTGATGAGATGATTTATAGCCACCGTACCTCGAATAAAGTCTGATCTTTGAATAATCACAAGACCTTGGAATTATATGTCCGTCCGTGACAAGATAATTAGATTAATCAAGTTACTTGAGCAGACCGAGATGTAGTAAACAGCCATATGGGGACTGAGCATGGGGAGCAGCCACTGGCAGGCTCCCCAGGGCCTAGAGGAAAGGAGGAAGAAGAGTGCTGAAGCCGGGCAACCAGGCGCCATGTGTGGAAAGACACCGAGAGCGGGTATCCTCTGCCCCTCCTCCTCCCTCTGTGCTCCAGGAATTCGCGGCTGCTCATCCGCGGGCGCCAGCAAGAGATTAGAGGCCCAGACTGTCAGCACCCTGCAAAGGAATTCCCCGTTAACGAGCCAGCGTCCCGAATCTGCCGCTCGTGCCAGCTCCAGAGTCAAGCAGCTCTTCAGCCAGCCCCCCTGAAGCCTGGCAGTGCCGCCCCCTCTTCCCCACGGACACCTCCGTCCTGTGATCGAGCAGAAGGGCAACAGTCCTGACGAGCGACAGCGCTTTTCTTGACTCTCCTCACCACTAACGCACTACCTGACCAGCAACAGTGCCCGGCCAACGCAAACCCCCCAGAGGCAGCAGCAGAGAAGGGCAACACTGCACACACAAGCCCACACACCTGCATACACATACACACAGAGCCTGCAAAAACTCGACCGAGTCGCCTGCAGACCCACTGCATGTCTGTCTGCACTTTCGCTGAGCACACATCATCCAAGAGCACAGTTCACGATCTTCCTTCGTGGGACACTGAGGCGCCGCTGGTCATGTCAAACACCACCACGAGACACAGCCCAGGCCTCTCCACTCCGCGCCTCTTTCAGCCCGTCCTGACTTCACGGAGAAAGCAGCTCCTCTGATGACTGTGGGTTAATGCTAGGAAGATAAGACACTGGGAATGTTCTGCATCCCTGCTCACAAAACCAAAGGCAAACTAGTAGCTAAAAATAGCCTTGTCGTGCCTCTGAGGCAGCAGGCAGGGTCTAGTAGAGTGCATCTCGGAGAGAAGATGGAGAGGCCTTGAGGAACAAAACTGTGGTTAATGAGCACAGGAATGAGTTTCTCCTCTTCCGTGATCCTAGGAATGGCTCGGCAGTCATGAGCCATCAGGATCAAAGAGAGAAGCGATTGCGCCGTGGCTCAGGACAGCGTGGCTGGAGTGTCGTCCTGCGATGTCAGCGCATCCATTAGCCACGGATCGCAGCCACTGCTTTCTCCTGAAGCACCCTCGCTCGGGCCAGACATTTCGAGAACGTCACGGCGATTCGGAAAACAGAGGGACTTGCTATCCAGGTGAAACTCTCCCCGTGTCTTGTCAGATATCTCCGGAGGCGTCTCTAGGTTGGGTCACGTCCGGTCACTTGCCCTGAACCCGGGACCTGGCTGTGTCCCTCTCGGAGCCAGGCGGGGTACGTGGTTCGGTGCGGCAGGGATCCAGGTCTGGTCACAGTTCATTAGCGAGGCGTGGGCTCTGTCCTCAGAGTGCAGCGAGCCCCATTTCCTGATCATTTTGTCATACGAATTACGAAGAAAGCTAATCATTCTCCAGACTAATTAACGCCGAGCGCTCAGGCCTCCCCCAGTCTGGGAAACTATTCAAAGCTCAGCAGCGCGGCAGAGGGGGAGTGGGAGGCTCACACGAGCCCGGCCAAGCGAGGCACATCTCCAAGAGCCGGCCGTGTGCGTGAGAGAGGAAGAGCACGCAACACCGAGCAAGCACGCCGCATGGATGTAGGTGCTGCAGAACGCGCCCTGAGATTCAGTGAGCTAGCTGTACCTGAGAAGAGGGATAACCCCGGTAATAAACACACACCAACCCCAGCTCACCCCCGGAAATATTCTGAAATATTCCCGAACTCGGAGCCCCTGTGATGCATTCATTAAAAGCTCATCTTGTTCTGCAAGAGCCCTGTATATACAGGGTAAAGAACACAAGGAGAACGTAACGAACGATATTTTATTAATAGTTTATTGGCCTACTGGTCTGACTTTACTGGAACAGTCTGAGTGCAGGGAGGGTAACGGAGCGAAATAAAAAACAGCAAATCTTCTCCTCCAGGCAGCTCACAGCTCACAGAGAAGTGCAGCTGTCTGCGTTAATCCCTCGATCCGCCGGGTAAGGGAGACCCCGGCCAGGAAGAGGTCGCGTGTGCTCCAGTATTTTAAAACACAGACAAATATTCACCCCCTCTGCAGCCCAGTTTAACGCTCAGCCCACAAACAGCACGAGAGGGGCTGGAGCCAGGGAGCTCTGACGCAGGCCTGATCTAATTATCACGGAGGCGGTTTGCCACGGAATGCAACGCTAATTGAACACATGAAGCACGTACTGACTAACGAGTCTGCAGGACTCGTGGTTGTAGAGCCTCATTTTCGGGGCTGCAGTGTACAGGTGAGGTGATTAGGCTGCCTCATCGGCAGGTAGTGCCCACATCGCCATGGCAACACACACCTAGAACAGGCCCCACATATCCCTGTATAGGCCCCACCGCCTCACGACCTCCGACCTCAACAAGCTGCCAGCTCTGTCAGTCCTTGGCTGACAGAAGGAGGGAGACAGCTCCCTGAAGCCAGCCCTTAGAGAGGCAACCATTAATTTGGGGGCTGGGGAGCGGAGGTGGAGGCCTTGGATGTCATAGAGACCCAATTAGAGTTCCCTTCCACTTGACGCCCAGCGGAAAGGACCCCCAGGTCACTCAGTGGGAGCGGGGCTAAGCCTGGCCCCCTGATGGCTGCGAC